TGCTCCCATATTGGAAGCCGACCCCATCCCATGTGGAAGGGGTCTTTCTAGCAATGATTGACCCGTTGCTATATTTAAATATTAAAGGACCACTATAGTGCCAGGAAAACAAACTCGTTAATAGGTCCCCCCCCCCACCCTCATGGCCCCCCTCCAGCCAGGCTCTAGGGGAAGGAAGGGGTTAAAATCTTACCTTTGTCCAGCGCCGGGCTCCCTTGGCACTGGGGACTCTCCTCCTCCTTCCGACGTCATCGGCTGAATGCTGTGCACGCATCGGCAAGAGCTGTGCACGCATTCAGTCAGTCTTCTCAACACATTCAGTCAGTCCTCTCAGAGTTTCTCAATGCTTTCCTATGGACGCTGGCGTCTTCTCACTGTGAAAATCACAGTGAGAAGCACGGAAGCGCCTCTAGCGGCTGTCAATGAGACAGCCACTAGAGGCTGGATTAACCCATACGCAAACATAGCAGTTTCTCTGAAACTGCTATGTCTACAGCAGACAGGGTTAACCCTAGATGGACCTGGCACCCAGACCACTTCCTTAAGCTGAAGTGGTCTGAGTGCTTATAGTGGTCCTTTAAGTAGTTAGGTTTAAAATCTTGCTTATAGCAATCTTATTGAACCACATAGATTTATTTTATTTATTTATTACTTTTTCAATGTAGTGGTTGTATTGCAAGCACATGTCATGGGCCACATAATTAGCCTTTGCTAAGCCCAAGGTTTTTAATATTTTTCTTACTGGCTAACGCTGCCATCTGGCAAAAGGTTCTGATTTTTTAAAATCAGATCCAGATTTGAACCATCTCAGCCCGAATATTGGTGATGTTGGGTCTGGCTGATATCCTCATTTGGAGCCTGAATTGCAAAATGCTGACATAAATAGTGTTAACAATGTCTGGATTTTGCAGCCTGAATAACCTCGTACTCAGCCGGATAGCTTTGCCCTATTTCATACAGGTCTATTTTGACTTTAGTTACTACCCCATAGGGTTGTGAACTCCTCTGGAATGCCAGAATGATTTGGTATCTTGGGAAGGGGAGCTTTATATCATTTGAATTCATAGTTTAGTTTTCAGTGCCTTCAGCTGAGGGTTGATAGGCAGGGCCGGTGCAAGAATTTTTGCCACCCTAGGCAAAAAATAATTTGCCGCCCCCCCCCCCATATGTCCTGCCCACCATGTGACATCACAATGCCCCGCCCATATGCTCTGCCAGTCTTCACAAAGTGTCTTTTATCTGAAAAGACAGTGTTTACATTAAAAAGCCTACAGGCACAGGCTATAGACACCAGAACCACTACATTAAGCTGTAGTGCTTCTGGTGACTATATTATCCATTTAATGTGAGGTAAATTAGAGATTAGTGCCACTACTAATATATTGGATTGCCTACTTACCACCAGATGAGGATAAGAGGCTGATGATGAGCTCAGTCTGGCTCCACAGGTCTGGTGTAGAACAGAAGGCAGCGCCATTTTTTTGGGCCCCTTACACAGCTCAAAGTCTGGGCTTAAACCTTCGTTTTTATTGTATATATAATTTAATGAAGTTGTATCACCAAAAACTATGTGTTAAATAAGTTATGATGTATTTTAAAGCTGTATAAGTGGTTTTAATTCTGATTGGTCAAACTAAGTTTTGGCGCCAAAATTCAAACAATTATGCTCTTATATAACATCTATGTGCCAGGTTAATCATGTTATTCCATTTGATAAAGTCCCTTTGTGACGAAACGCGTTATGGATATTTAAATTGTGTTTTTATATATATTAAAGTATTTTTGGTCATTTGCTTGTGCCAATTATCTTTTTTATAGACACATATCATTCTTATTTTACCCTGGCCTTTTTTTATTGTTATTTTAACTTTTTATGGTTTTAAAAGAAACCTAAAAATTCCTGGAAGTTTCCTGTACCCAAAGAAATCCGTAGGTGGGGATCAATCCACCCAAGCTATCATCAAAGAGCAGTGGGTCTGCTCTTTCTTTGTAAGTACATTTCTTTTATTATCTTGTTATTATTTGCCATACAGTGAGCACTATTGGCTGTTTATTTTATTTTATCCCGAGAATTGGATACCATCCACGGAGAAGAACCTGCCTATATCCCATAAGCAGGGATTAAACCGCTGTACGCGCTTTACTCCAGAGCTGGACATTAGCTCTGGTAAATGTGAGTTTTATACTATCAATTTTACGTCTATATCTGAATTTTACATACTATACCATTGGATGTCCCTTTTTTTTTTTTTCTCTTTTTATTTTCCATAAACGAGTGAAATCACCACATAAATAGAAGACCCCACCAACCAAGGATACCTGTAAGAATATACCAGTTGGACTTTTCTCTCTTCTCCTTGAATTGGACTTTACTAAATGTGCGCAGCCTTTTACTGTTTTTATTTTATTTTTTTTCTTGACCGTGAGTATGCCTACAATGCCCACCCATAAATCCACCTACATGGCCCACCCATGAGTTCTCTCACTGGTAGTGGAGTGTATGTGTGTAGGGGATGTTTTATGTGTTATTGTAGAGGATGCAATGTGTGTGTTCTTATAGAATGTAGTGTATAGGAATACCAATTTGTGTAAGGGATGTAGTGTGTGTATAGTGGATGCAGTGTGTGTTTGCGTGTAAGGAATGCATTGTATGATTCTGTGTGTGTGTGTGTGTAAGGGATGCAAGGTGTGTTTCTGTGTATGTAATTGAATGCAGTGTGTGTCTGTAAGGGGTGCATTGAGTGTGTAAGAGATGCATTTTATTTCTGTGTGTAAGAGAATGAGTGTTTGTGTGAGCTTAAGGGATGCATTGTGTGTTTCTGGTGTGTCTGTGCGTGAGTAAGGATGCATTGTATGTTTCTGTGTGTGTGTGGGGATGAATTGTGTATGTGTGTAGTGTAAAAGAGAGGGTTTGTGGGGTAGGATAGGGACTGAGAGGGGAGCAGCTCTTTGTTTTGTTAAAAAAAATTCATAGTGCTCACCCCTCCTGTCAATTAGTGTTCTCCCTTTCTGTCCCTTAGTGCTCTCCCTTGGCCCCCTGTCCCTCTGCAGTCCCCCCTTGGTGGTCTTCTCACTCCCCTCTCTCCCTCTTAGTGGTCCTCCCTCCCTCAGTGGTCCTCCCTCCCCCCCCTGGTGGTCCTTCTCCCCTCCTCCCTCAGTGGTCCTTACTCCCCCCCTCTCCCTCAGTGGTACTCCCCTCCTCCCCCACCTCCCTCCTCTCCCCAGTGGTCCTTAGTGTCCCCCTCCCCCTCCTCCCCCAGTGGTCCTTAGTGTCCCCTCCCCCAGTGGTCCTTAGTCCCCCCCAGTGGTCCTTATCCCCCCTCCTCCTCCAGTGGTCCTTAGTCCCTCCTCCTCCTCCCCCAGGTCCTTACTCATCCCTCCCACTCCCCAGGTCCTTACTCTCCCCTCCCTTTCTCCCCAGTGGTCCTAGTCCCTCTCCTCCTCCCCCAGTGGTCCTTACTCCCCAGTGATCCTTACTCCCCCTCCTCCCCCCAGTGGTCCTACTCCCTCTTCCCCAGTGGTCCCCCTCCCCAGTGTGGTCCTTGTTCCCCCCTCCCTCCTCCCCCCAGTGGTCCTTACCTTCCTCTTCCTCTTCCCTCCTGCCAATGTAACATGGCCGGGCGGCGCAGAACGCGGGACAGGAACCTCTGTTTCCTGTACCCGTCCGCCGGCGTACTGACAGGAAGTGAGCACTTCCTGTCAGTCCGCCAGCGGCCGGGTACAGGAAACAGAGGTTCCTATCCCGCGTTCCACGCTGCCCGGCCAAGCTACATTGAGAGACCGGCAGGAGGGAGCGCTCTGCGCTTCCCTCCTGCCGGTCACTCAAATCCGGCCGCCCTCCACAGCAGTGCTGCGCCGCCTGAGGCTTGTAAAAGCACTCAGGCGGCGCAGCATGTTGGATCCGCACTGCTGATTCCTGGTGCAGGGATCCGGCGCCCCCTGCTAAGGTGCGCCCTAGGCGGCTGCCTGGGTCGCCTTACAGGTAGCGCCGCCCCTGTTGATAGGACATATGTGATGCTGACATAGTTAGTCAGGAAACTCTATTTAAAAAGTCAATGAGCTAGAAACAGAGTCAAAGCCACCTCATCACTTGGGAGGAATTGCAGTAGAAGTGGTGGGTTTTGAGTGGCCGGTAGATTTTGTGTTCCCTTTTCAGCACAATAAGTTATAGTGCTAACAATGCTACTACATACTATAAAAATGAACTTATCCCACTCTGAATACAATCCTGGGGCTGCCTCTCCCCTTTCAAGGAAAACAAACAGAAATAACTTGGTAAGTCTCTAAAGGTAGGGCAAATTAAATCTCTCTTTAAAATGTTGGGAGTAGACGAGATAAAAATGCCAATACTTACAGGCAGTAAAGATATCTAGATCTGAAAAATCAATATGCAATGGCAGCTTTACAACAGCAGAGACATGGTCTAACTTGTTCCAATTGTACTTCATCTAAAAATGAATTGTTCCCTTTGTGTCTCTTTGAGCATGAATGGGAAGTAAGAGTCAGGTGAGGTTGATTAAGTAAAGAGTAGGAAATGTAGAGAATCGACTGATAAATCACACTAGGTAAATAACAAATTTATAAGAATATATTTATATAAGGTACACAAAAAAATGTCAAGTTTGTAAATATGCATACAAGTTACAATTAGGAATGTGATATTGCATGCTTACATCATTAAAGAATAATTGATTAAAAGCTTCAAAAAGATGATTTATAAGAGAAGAACTCTCCTGATTTGTCTAAATGAGGAAGATAGAAAGAAGAAAGGGTAGGGTTAATATAAGGGCAAATAGAGTTGATGAACTAGGCCCGTAATATGATATAGTGTAAAGCAGTCAAAATATAAACATGCGGGGGGTCGGGGGCGGACCAACAAGCTGGACGGTCGCAAGGACGATCAGCTCCTGCAACTTTCTGAACATTAAGCCTCAAAACCTGAAATTTTCGACCTAAAAGCTGGCCGACAGCAATGGCCCTTGGTGTAAAGGGGGCACTGGATGCAGGGAGAGGCTGGCTCCTCAAGTTTCAGTCCCCTGGAGGAGGAATCTTCGATGTCCCAATTGGGGCCTTCTCCGGCGGTGAGTGGGGCGGACGGCCGCTGCCCCGCTGTCCTGCCTAACAGAGCCCAGCCAGAGGCCGACACTCGAGTGGCATCGGCCCTGTTCCCCCCCAGTCCTCACCCTGTGGCCCCGACCGCTGCAACGCAGACAAGGCCCAGCAACAACGCCACCCCAATCTGCGGCCCAAGCACCTCACCTAAAATGGTGGATGCCACGTGCGCTGAAGGCAGAGGGGAGGAACGCTGTCTCCCCGTGCACATATCTAAAGGCAAGGCATCCAGGCACAAACTGGCCCGATACCACCAACAGCCACTTAGAAGCACTCACCCTGGCTCCCTGGCAGGCCGGGAGAAGAAGGAAGAGATGCAGAAACGGCAGGCCAGTGCACGCACCACAATATTGGCTGACGACACTCAGAAGTCGAAAATCTACCCTCCGGATGAGACGGGAAACCGATCTCACATGCAAGAGACTGCACACCTATCCTGCTAGCTCGGACAGAGCCACAACATGTACCAGATGCCTGGCTTATAACGGGACCAGGCTGAGTTCACAGAGGCATCAACTAAACAGAGACTCATGTGGACATTTTACTTCTGTGCCCCACCGACCCACACCTCCCGGGTATGAGTAGTGCACGGAAGAGAATCAAGCTTACATGCTGGATCACCCGCCTTACCCATACTTAAGCTTGGCTACAAGGGCCTCTAGGGGGAATACTCTGTCATGCACAACTAAAACAGCCACCAAGCAACTTACTAGCAGCAGGTATTGCCCACATATACAGCCCTAAACTGGGAAGACTAAATTCAATTAAACTACATTAACATAGTCTGGGACTAATCATCCTAACAGCCCTTAAGCTACATCGAGGCACTCTAGGGGTTAACTACTAGTGTACAGCTACACAGACCCACCTAAATGGTCCTCCCCAGAACACTCCAGCCATGTACACACACTGCACTCACACACCAGCAGCCCATTTTGTACAATATGTAAGAGCCTTGCCTGCACTTCAGAAGGGCCACACATGTCGCTATACATGAAAAATAGCCTGTACCGAATATGACTTAATCGATGCTGTTTTCCTACACCTAATAATCTGCCATAATTTAAGATGACCACCCAGTGGTATTTAAAATCCTGCATGTCATATCTACTTCTGCACGATATTGTTGTAAAATCTTTACCTGCTTTCATCCACTGGCAGAATTATGAAACATGTTTATTTACCCAAAATTGTGCTGACCAATCAACTGTCATGATACTGTTTCTCTGAAAATGTTCTTATAAGCTCGTGCCTGCTGTTGTGGCACTACAAGCCTGTATGTTACTCTACGCACAGAAAAAATAAAGAATTAAAAAAAAAATACATAAACATGCATTCTTTGCAAATTCAATTTATTTTTGCTTGGTGACATTGATGCGGTAGATATTGATGTGGTAAAATAGTTTCTTTTTTTACAATAAATGATGTTGCATTTCTTTCCAGATGTTGACATTACTTAGACTAAACCTACCCCCACCCTAACCCTACACCAAACATAACCCTAACATTATCCAACGTAATCCCAATACCAGTTTTAACACCACACCAAACCCTAGGGGAAATGATCAGGATCTTTTCAAGTCATGTGGTCCTCCCTCTTTTTGGGAATCACCATGGCTAAACATGGTCTTACAAAGCTGCTGATTTAAATGGCTATATGTAGGCAGAATATGGCCCAGCAGACAGAAGGGAGTTTGTGTATTGAGTTATTAAAGGACCACTATAGTGCCAGGAAAACATACTCGTTTTCCTGGCACTATAGTGCCCTGAGGGTGCCCCCACCCTCAGGGTCCCCCTCCCGGCCGGCTCTGGAAGGGGGAAAGGTTAAAAACTCTACCTTTTTCCAGCGCTGGGCGGGGAGCCTCTGCTTTCTCCTCCTCCGTTTCTCTCCCGGCTGAATGCGCATCGCCGCTGCAAAGAGCTGTTACGCATCAGCCTTCTCCGCTGTCGCGATAAAAGCATTCATAATGCTTTCTATGGATTGTCGCTATGCGCGCCTCACCTGTGAAAACGCAGTGAGGAGTTATTCAGCATTCTTCTAGTGGCTGCCAATGAGACAGCCACTAGAGGATTAGGGGGAAGGCTTAACCCATTCATAAACATAGCAGTTTCTCTGAAACTGCTATGTTTATAAAAAAAATGGGTTAACCCTAGCTGGACCTGGCACCCAGACCACTTCATTAAGCTGAAGTGGTCTGGGTGCCTAGAGTGGTCCTTTAAGAGATCTAGTCCAGCTGGTGCGATAAAGGCAAGATGTTCCTTGCCAAATTTGGGCTTTAATGCTTTGAACTGCATGATGGCATGGAACATTTTGCAGCTTTGAAGAGTTCTAAAGTATTAAAAAAAAATTACCTCAGGAAATAAAGAGAGCAAACATCTTAATTTGCAATGCCCTATCTGTATTGCATTGTTGTCTAATTTGGAAAATCTTAAAAGGAACATTATATGCACACATACCACTTTATCTCATTGAAGTGGTCTGAGTGCAAAACCCCTGTCTGTTTAAATCTGCAGTGTGAAACTAATTGTGGACTAGACATTAAGGAAAATTGTTCTGAAACTGACATGACAGTAACTAAAAGATTCTATAAACATTTTTGATAAAAACAGTGTGTAAAATACTACTAATTAAATACGAATAGGGAGACTGTATGAGAATGTTTTTTCTTTTTTTTTAATTATGCAGTTTATATAAAAAAAAAGGAAATTTTCAAAATGTTTACAGTGATAAAGCAAGAGTACATGTTCAACATTGATAGTAGAACTTCTATGTACAAAGGTCTGATACTGGTTTCCGCTATTGGTAAACCTATTTTACACAAAACATTGTGAAAATAAACAGAAATATAACAATAAGAGGGGATATCAAGGTAGGGTAAAGGGGAGGACATTTGTATGGTTTACAATATTATGAGGTGTAAAAGTCATTAATCTGATAGTTCAATGGCCTATTGTACTATCGTTCAATACTGAGTGTTGTAATAAAGGAATTACTCATAAAGAAACATACATCTTACAGTTACATTACATAGCTTATACAGTATTAAAGGACCACTATAGGCACCCAGACCACTTCAGCTTAATGGAGTGGTCTGGGTGCCTGGTCCAGCTAGGGTTAACCCTTTTTTTTTTTATAAACATAGCAGTTTCAGAGAAATTGCTATGTTTACACTGCGGGTTAATCCAGCCTCTAGAGCCTCTAGTGGCTGTCTCATTGACAGCCGCTAGAGGTGCTTGCGTGCTTCTCACTGTGAAAATCACAGTGAGAAGACGCCAGCGTCCATAGGAAAGCATTGATAATGCTTTCCTATGAACTAGCTGAATGCGCGCGTCAGTACCAAATACCATTGGTATAGTATTTTCCTGAAGAGTTCTACATAATTTGTACATAGGGTTAACTGTTTGTGTGCTGTAAATATTTGTTGCCAAGTATAATCAGGGAGAGTGTGGTTTAATTCTTTTTCCCAGGCTGTAACAAATATATATATATATATATATATATATATATATATATATATATTTGTGTTCGGTGCTATTCTTGTAACGTAACGTATGTATAGTATGGTGTAACCATAGGTATGAACAAGTCGGTTGAAGTGTGCCGAAACCGACGTATGTGGTAGGCCTGTAATAAAGAGGGCCCACCCTAGATATAAAATAATAAATGAATTGAGTTGAGGGAGTGGTGGGTGGGGCCTGCTGACATCAAAACTCCATGGTGATGCAGAAAAAGGGGGTTGAGTTTAAATAGGATCACCACGCCCCTCCCACAACTCCAGGCAAGCCTTTACATTTGTGTTCGGTGCTATTCTTGTAACGTAATGTATGTATAGTATGGTGTAACCATAGATATGAACAAGTCGGTTGAAGTGTGCCGAAACCGACGTATGCGGTAGGCCTGTAATAAAGAGGGCAAAAATAAACAGTGTCTTTGCCAAAGAAAATATTACATAGATAAACATAGTGCAAAGAAAATACCTCAAGATGATGTTTAACAAAGCCGCCCTAAATTTCTAACACAGGTTGAGGTATATACAAAGCAAATGCTGAGGACTTCCAGCGGCCCAAAGACTTGATTACATGTATTGGAATATTTTGGCTGGAGGCTGACCCTATCCGAAAGGAATGGCCAGAAAAAAATTGCCAGCATTCAGAACTAGTCTGGTCAGTAACATGCGGACATATTGCATGAGTTTGGCTGTTTGTAAGACCTCTTGTGTAAGACCAGCAGCAGGATGTCAGACTGTGGTGGTAATGATTGGAGGTATGTATCCGTATCCAATACTTTCACCGGGCACCATTTGTTTGCAGTAGGATAATGTGTGACTGGTACTATCTTGCTGAGCTGGCTTGTTTTCGTAACTGGTAGTGACAAGATATAGTGATCATGTAGTTTGGTGAGATGGGACCGTTTGAGGCAGTTTGTACGTATTTGTTTCCGTGTATGGTAAACTCACCAGGTCTGAGAAAACCATAATATGCCAAGTAGATGGCTGTTTGATTACCGTGTTTGTATTGTGTTCAAATGGGGCAGTGTCCAACAAGTCGGACATATCCCTAAATATCTGCTTATGTACTGGTAATCTTGATGATGGAGGAATGGTACTGGATTTCTGTACGCCTTTAAGAATGTTTTTTTAATGGGGTAAGAAGATAAGAAACTAGAGTTATCTGGGTATAAGGTATACATGTGGCGTTGTATGACGGTTAAATATAATTTGATGGTGTTGTGTGACAGTTTGAGTTTTAGATGACAAACCGAAACAAAAGCTACCAGTGTGGAAATGGCAAAAACTGCACTAAGTTGTGTTCTAACATACCGGTAACCTCTTGTATAGTTTGAAGGCCCTATCGAAGACCGTTTAGTATTGTCGGACAGGGCTAGTCTAGCCAAGGCGAGACTATGCCTTGCCAATTCTTCAGTCCATCACCAGCTCCTGAAAACGTGGTGCTGCAGTGGCTGTAGGGGAGGCCGTGGCTAACGTCTCTCTGAATGCCTGGAATTCAAAGCGAGACAACTTGTCAGCTGCAGTATTAAAGACCCCTGGTACATGAGAACACACTAAATAAAAGTGATGGCAGGCAGCCTGCCAGGTCAGTCTTCTCATGAATCTCATGATCGTTGGAGACTCCGAACGGCCTTTGTTTATGATATGGCAGGTAGCTTGGTCGTCAGAAAAACAGCGTACCGAGCTACCTACTCAAGACTAACCCCATACCACAGCTTTTGCAACAATGGGGTATATTTCAAATAATGCCGAAGTGCGTGAGAAGCCTACAATGTGCTGGACTGCCTCTGGCCAAGCATCCCTAAGTCACTCATTTCCAAATATGGCAGAAAACCCGTTGATGCTGCCGCATCTGTCCAAATAACCAGAGAGTGGACAGAAAATGGAGGCAAGAACATGCTTCTGCCATTCCACTGCAACAAGAATTTGTCCAC